TTTTTAGTAGATAAGTGTGAATGTGAGGGTATTTTGAAATACCCAAAATACCCTCACCTTGACACTTATGTTCAACCCTCTCCTTTTTTTTGGTGCCATGTGTCAAAAGAAGAGTGAATTTTATTCACTCTTCTTATATAGTAATATATATATATATAAATCTTATATTGGTTTCGTGTTGTTTCATCATCACATACTAGCAGTTTGAAGAATAAATTTTACATTATTATATGTATAAAAATTTAAAAGGTATGATACAATAACAATCCAAACAATCATTATATTTATAAAGCAAAAATAATGGTACGTTATGATACCATAAAATATAACAAATAACAATTAGAGGCGTACGTATTTAGGATCTCGTTATAATGAATATAATATTATGTTTATGAGAAGATATACAATACAAAAAATTTAAATCGCATGTCCAAACAAAACTTTAACTTCATCTCATGATTTCATATTATGATTTCATATCATATCATAATTTCATATTACATGACCAAACAAGCCCTAAGATATCGAAGGTATTGAAATCGATTGAATGCATTGATTGTATACAATATCATCCAATACTACTAATTTTAATACATACATTTGGCTAATTATAGTAAAAAATTACAATACTAAAAATAGTAGAGAAATTTCCTATATGATAGACTTGAAATTTTTTGAAAGATTGATGCAATAAAAAAAATAGTTTAAAACGTCAAAAATGCTATCAATAATCACTTAGAAGAGAGGTGTAACCCAATTTTTTTTTAAAAGAACAAAATAGATGTAAGATTCAAATTTCTAACATCACTTAGAAATACATATGCGCCCAATAATGATTGCATTATATCATACTTTATATATGTTCACTGGTTATTTTTCAATAAAACACTACTATATATATGATCTCGGAAGAGGAGCATAGATTTACGTGTAATCCCCTTGATACGCCCGTGATAACAACCATCCAACATGTTGTACTAAAATATTAATAATTTAAAGATTGATTTTATTGCTTTAAATAGCCTAACAAGTTCATTGAAGTATTCCCAAGAACCAACAAAAACACAAATTAATTAAGCTTTTCTTCACCATGGGGAAACAAACAAATGGAAAAACAAGAACAAATGATGAAGAAAAAATTCAAGAATCTCATGAAGCACAAGCAAATATGTGGAAATTTGTGTTTGGTTTCACAGAATTGGCTGTGATTAAATGTGCCATTGAGTTAGGAATTGCTGATTTTTTGGAAAAAATCAAGAACCTATTAGCCTAAATCAACTTTCTGTTGCACTTGGTTGCTGTTCCTCTTCCCTCTATCGTATCCTAAGGTATGATTAATTAGTTTGTAATTTGTTATTCTGTCTGTTCCAATTTGCGTGACAGTGTTTACCTATTTATACAAGAAATTTGATTTTTAAAAATATTTGTGTGACTGTAATTGAGCATCTCATTATATTAAGAGACTAGTCCACGAAGGATTGTAGTGAAGAGGTTAGTACAGACTCATATTCATGCATT